GGGAAAATGAAAAATTTTCAAAGAAGTCTCATTTATTTTTTCCACTTAAAATTTTTTTACAACATATATTGTTTAAAAGCATTATTGTATATAAATTCTTTTATAAATAGATATTACAACATAAATAGAAGACAATTTAAAATGAAATTTAATAAGAATAACTTTTAAAAGAAAACTTAAAGTTAGTCTCATTTTTATTTTCCACCACTGTATAACAACATCCTTTTTAGCTTCTCCAATTTTATCAGGATAAAAAACTCTAAATATTAAATGTAAATAATTGCAATTATCAATATAGAAACTATTAAAATTCTCTTTATTAGCCACTATCAAATTTTTAATTTTATCAATTTCAGGAATTTGATCTAAAAATTCTTTAGATGGCATATTAAGATAATTTTCATAAATAATACCATAAAAACACTTCATTAACTCATAATATTCTTCTGTTTTATTACTATTAAATATCCATTTTAATAAAAATGAATCAATCTTATACAATACATTATAACAATATTTTGCCAATAAAAAAGAAATTAAATAATCATATTCTGCTTCGTAGTTTTCCAATAAATAGTTAGTGGTTTTTTCTTTATTATAATCGAATAAATTATTAAGAAAAGTATTGATTTTACTTTTTATATTATCATCAATATTTTTACGAGTAAGCATTTCATTTACAAATGACCTCATTGTTTCTTCAATTAAGAAAAGTTCTTTTATAATTTCTTCTTTATAATTAGACATTAAATAAGATTTAAAATTTTCTTTCATTTCTTTAGTGAGTAAATTGTTAATAATTTTTGATTCTTCATCTTTTAAATAAAAAAGGTTTTTATAAATTCCATTTTCAATACAACAAATTTCGTTAGATTCAAAATCAAATAGTATTTTTGCTTTTTCATAAAAAATATCTTCTCCTTGATAATATAGTGGTTCAGTTTCTGGATTAAAAATTGATTTAACTTCTTGATAAAAAACTAATTCATCTGTCATATGAGTGTCCATCTCACATTCCTGGTCATTATCATTATCAATATCAGTATCACTATTTACTTCATATTCTGAACTATTATCTGCTTCATTTTCTATTATTCTGTCATGATTTAAATTGCTTGAATTCTTCATAGTCACATGCCTAATTTTTATAAAAATATTAATGTACTTACCTAGTCCTATAAAATAAAGTGTTTGTATGTTCATAATTGTAAGGGTTCCAATATTTTTTTTCTTTTATAGATTTTTAAAAAATTAAGCATATTTTTTTTAGAATAAACTTCAAATTAATCAAATGTAAAAAATTTAAGATTTTTATTATAAAAGAATCAAATGTTTTTTAAATAATATTATATATAAATATCTACTCTTTAAAATTTAATTTTGATCAATTCATTTTTCTAAAACAAAAAGAATTAAATTTATAAATATCTCAATAAAATTAATAGTCATTAAGTTTTTTACACTGTCCTGTATTGTTTTTCCACAACAATTCTTTGTATAATGAATTTAACTTAGAGACTACAACACTTTTGTGTATTGAAAAAATATATTTACATTTATTCCATACTCTTTTAATGTTCTAAGTATGAACATCAATAGTAGAATTTAGAAAAAGTTTACTATGATTAACACTGGATATGAAAACAACAAATTATTATTCCCAATATGTAAATAAACACTCCATTTATCAAAATATATTATTTTCTCTTCTTTACAACCATTTTTAATTGTTGGCAAAAGCATACAAATGATTCTATTAGGTACGACATGCAACGAGATTTAAGCTGAAAGAATATACATATGCCAAATTAAATAATTATATCGTTTTTCCAGGCTGTTAACCATGAAGTTATTCTGTTTGCGTCTAAATATAATTTCATCTATTTAAACAACCATACCATCACCTTTGAAGCGAAGTGGGTTTTACATATCACCTTTTAAACACTACCTTTAAAGAAAATCAATTCTTTTCCTAAAATTTTTCCTTCTTACGTTCACATCTGACACTATCTGTAATTAAATTTGGCTGTTAAACCATTTTTAACAAATTTATAGTATGCTACTCAGAAGTACATTGAAATTTGATAATAGTGACTCGGTGTAAATAAAAAATGTATTTATTATAGTTAACGTAATTATTGTTAAAGCAGTCAACTAGAACTTCATCTATATTTCTAGATTATAGTTTTTTTTTCTTTATCTTGTTGACAAGATACGTACTTTATGTATTTTTTAAGACGCATTTAGTGAAAAAGCTCAATCAAACTTTTAGAATTACAAGCAATAGCGGTTTTAACACCCTAGTATATCAATGATTCATTGATTATAAGTTTCTTTAAAATTATATTTATATATTTTTCAATTGATTTTATTTGTTTTTTAAGATCTATTTTTTCCACACAGGAAAAAAAAGAATTGATTTGATTTTTCCTATAAGCAAAAGTTTTGGAACGTGAAATATAATTCTTTACAAAAAATTAAGAAAATTGATTATAATGTATATAAATAATACTAGATTGTAATATGTTAAAGTAAATTATAAAATTTGAATAAAAATAAATAATTAAAAAAATTCTAAACGAGTGTTATAAGTTTGATGTATTTTATACAAGATCAGTAATTATTATAATATATTTTTTAACTATGAAACAGGAATTGTTATATTTAAAATTAAAAATATATGTTCACCTTTTAATCAACTTTACAAGTTTATATATATAATATCATAACATTTTAATATATTGTTTTAGAGATAAAAAAGGAAATTATTTTCTATAAAATAATATCTTATTATTAACAGTTAAATTTTATTAAAATTAACTAAAATTATTTTTGATAAAATAACATTAACTTTTTATTTGCTATATATTACTCAGAATGTAATCCTTATTGTCGTAACCGAGGTTACTTACAATTGACACCTATCATTTTATTAGTTCTTAAAACAAATGTTTTAAGTTCTCCTTTTTGGGTATATAAACAAAATATCCTAAAAGGGGATATGAAAATGAGAAGTAAATTCATTTACAAACATTTTAAACTTTCTAAATCCACTAGCCGTGTGGGGTACGATACTTATAAACAAAATTTAAATTGAAAATGAAGGTTTTTCATATTTAAAAAATTTAACACAAAAATTTTTCAAAGAATAATGAGATATATTTATTGATATAATATTATAAAGTATTTTAGATGATTTTGAAGTTATTAAAATATATTAACTAACCCAAAGTATAAATTATAAAGATTTTTTATTTAGTAAGAAAGATTAAAAAATTTAAAATTATTAATAGAATATTTTTATTTAAGATTTTATCACATTCTAATATAAAAATGATTTAAAAGGGTAAAAGTTATTGATTGTTGGTAAAAAGCTATAAAATAAAAAAAGTTTTTCAAAAATATTTTAAAGAAATTAATTCTAAGGCTTATTAAAATCTTGTTTAAAATAAATAAGTTTATTAATAGATAAAAATAATAGTATGTTTTATAAACATCAATTAAGAAATTAATACGCAATATTTACTTTATATAAAGAATATAAACTAAATTTTAATAAAAAGTATGTTTTTAATTTTTATAGTTTTTAAATTCTTTTAAAATGATTCATTCTGCTTTTATAGAATGTTAAAAGTTTTTACATCACTTTTTAAACCAAAGCAGGCAAATTATATTCTAAAAACATGTTTCCAAATACTTAAATAAAACTCTTTTTGTTCTAAATTATAAAGATCAAATTTTTTATATCTTTACTATCAAAAAACTTTTTTATTTTACCATTTCTAAAATTATTATTATAGTCTGAAATATTGGTATTAAAAGCAAGAAACATAACATTAATTTAGTTTAAAAATTGTATATTAGTAATTTAATTAAAAAAATACAATTTCTAATACATTTAAAACAATTATAATAAAGATGTTTTTTGTTATTACAATATTTTTGATCATTTTAAAGTTTCTTTATTTCATGTATTTCAGGTAAAAGTTTAAAACGTTAAATTTTTTTATTAAAAAATAAACAATGTTTTTATTACTAAGAAAAAATTGAAAAGTAATTAAAAATAAGAAATTTAAAGTAGATTGTAATGTAATTCTGTTTAAACTTACTTTTTTTTAATATAAAATCATCTCTTATAAATTTTTAAATTTTATTTTTCTAATTTAGAAAGTCTGTTTTTAAGTTTTTCAATTTCTTTTTTACTTTCCTCAAATTTCTTTAAAAACTCTTTCTTTAATGATTTAGGATTTTTTTCAATTACTTCATTAGCTAATTCCATAATTTTATATTTCTCAAAGAAATATTGAGTTTCATTAAAAAGTTTAACAATTTCATCAAATATAAAAGAAACTAATTTGTAATATTGATTTCTAAAATTAAAATCTAAAGTATATTCTGAGTAAATTCTGTTTTTTGCAACTTCATTTTGTTTGAGTTCACCCGTGTTGATAAAAAAGGGTGTGGTTAAATTTTGAAAGAACGATAATTTAGATACTTCTAAACTACCCTTAAACTTATTAATAAAAGATTCTCTATCTTGTTCACAGATCATATCTGATTTAGCAACAACAGGTATTACATTACAATACTCACTAAGAGATTTCATATAATAAACATCTGTTTTCTTAATAAAGTCAATAGGCTCTATAAAATAGAGACATAAATGCACCCTTCTATCATTTGAACTATTCAAATCAAATTCATTAAATCTTTCTTTAAAAAAATTCTGTAGATAAAACTCATTATCAATATTATCACCAACACCATCTACTTCAATTATTTCCAAATCAACGTTAAAATCATGTTCTGTAACCACCATTTGTGAAACTTCAATATGTAATGGTAATTCAGTAAAACATAACATTCTATTTCTCTTAACAGTATATTTCCCTATGAAATTATTAATAAATGAAGTTTTTCCCAATCCTCTTGATCCAATAACCATTAAATTAAACTTAATGCCTTTATTAACAACTCTACTAAAATAGATGTTTGGTAAATTTGAAATGCCTATTCCTTGATCTTTCATGTGTATTAAAATTTTCGAATTTAAATATTTAAATCTAAAACAAAATAAACATAAAAATATAAAAATCTTATTTATTTTCCTTTTATGGAAAATACAACAGAATTATTCAGAGTTACAATTGGTGATTGTAATGAAATTAAACAAGATCTTAGTGTCCAGGAAGAGAAACTTAACACAATTAAAGAAAGAATCAGTACCAATAAATCATTGTTAAGTATAAATGGAAATTTAATCAAAAATCTCGATTCTAAAACATCAGTTAAATGTTTCTATCTAACAACAGCTATTTTAACAATAATAATCTTATCAGTTTTATTCATAAAATACAATGATTAAATTTGATTTATTCAATGCTATAAAACATTAAAAGTTTTGCAACATTTATAGATTTGCAATTCATTGTAAAAGAATCTCCTTTAACAATTGAAAATACACTACCTTTCTTTAGAATTGTTTTTCCTGATTGATTTGTTTTAACTTTTACTTTTCCTGACATTACATGGAATATCATATTGTTTTCTATATTTTCTTGTTCAAGGAGATCCCCTGAATTTAAAATTATCGCTGCTGTTCCTATATTTTTATTTTCTATTAAACCACTAACACTACCAGTGCTCTTTACATCAAAGAAATTGATAGGTTCTAATCTTTCATCGCCAGTCATCAATTTCTTATTTGAACTTTCTGACTTCTTATTTAATTTCTTCTTACTGTTATTTAACTTCTTTTTTAAACTTTCCTTACCTTTCTTACTTTTACTAGAACTAAATCTTAACATATCACTTTGTTTATTATTTTCACTTTTAAAACTATTATTGTTTATTTCAAAACAGTCATTTTCATTATTAATAACATCAATTCCAAAGTCATCAATATGATTTGATATGTTTTTAGTTTCAAATTTATTGTCCAATTCATCAGAATTACCAACAATTATCTCACCTACTTCATTAATTTTTCTAGTGTCTGAATTATTTTTTAAAAATTTAACAGAAGCACTTGATGAATCTTTTTCTTTTTTCATTTCTTCTGTTAAATTTTTTTCTAGTAAATTCAAATCAATTTCATTATTGAAACTTTGTACCCAGTGATTTGATACACTTTGATTATTTGTATCAAGAATATCATCATTTTTATACTTATTTTCAATATTACTTATGTTATATCTTAATGATTCAGTATTAATCTTATTATCTCTTGAATCTATAGTATTATGACCTGCTATAATTGAATTAGCTACGTTAAAATAATCATTAATATCTTCCATACCATACTCATCTGTTTTTATCCCAAAATTTTCATTAACATTTAATCTTCTATTCTCAAATAATTCACTTTTCTGTTGTACCCTCGCAATTGGTCTAAAACTCTTTTTCATGGGAAATAAAAAATAAACAAAATTTATTCATAAATCTCATTCTGAACAATTTCTCTTAAAGCTATTGTTGCATAACATGACTTATTTAATGTAAATTCTACTGTATTTTCTGTTTCATTTATTTTTAAATTACTAATTTTTTCAATTATTTGTCTTTTCCCTCCCTTTAAAAATTTACTATTAAATTTTTTTAAATTCAATTCTCTATTAAAATCTTCCTCTTTGATTTCCAATTCATTAATTTCCTTATTAAATAGATAAGATTGATAAGCATGAAAGTATATCATTTTATGGTTTCTATCCATTCTTCTGAATATTTCTTTTGGTCGTTTAGAAATGTTATTATTAATAAACCTAATTACTTTTGAATCATCATTTTCATCTGATTTGATTAATTTTATGGCTTCTTCATAATTTTGATTTAATAATGCCTCTCCTATTAGGTGATTATTTAAATGTTTACCAAATCTTTGATATCGGAAATAATTAAGAAAATTAGTTGCTCTATTAAAGTTAGTTATATTTTGTAGTTTAATAATGAAATAATTACCAAGGTGTGATCCCATTTGTATATTACGACCTCTTCTCAAATCAGAAATCATAATTTTTTCAGTTCTATCAAAATCAACATTAATATTTTTATTAATATAATCCTTAATACTTTCATCACATAGTATACTTTTAATGATTAAATCATTTTTACTTTTGAAGTGTTGATCTTTTAAACTTGATGTCTCATTAAGATATAAAATATAGCTGAATATTTTTTTAAAACTTGTTTTAACACTAAAATCTTGATAAGTTATTGCTTTTTTATCTTTGTTTCCTGAAAAGGAAATATAATTAAAAGAACAACCAATACCTCTTGATAAAATAGATACAGCATCACTTGTATTAAGATTACATTTAATAAGTGTAAATTCAAAAAAATCCTCTTCATCTGTCTGTATTAATTTATCTTCATCAACTTTAAATGTATAAAGTGGAAAATATTTAATTTTACCATAAAATTCTTTCCTTTCTTCTTTATTGTAAGTTTTATTAAAATCAAAATTATCATAATATTCTTTAGACAAAATAAACTTATCAAAATCAATGATTTCTTTATATTCACAAATACTATTATCTCCTCTAACTTCTTTAACTATAAAATCTTCACATCTACTTTTAATTTTCACGTTACCATTTAATTCATTTTTATTACTTAAATATTTATTTATATGTAAATCACTCATCAAAATAAACGGTTTAAAAAGTTTAAATAAAAAATTAATTGGTTAAATAAGAAATTAATATAAAATTATAAATGAATCTCCTTAATGGGAGAAAAAAGCTATAAGACTATTAGAATACTATCACAATTACTAGCAACAGTAGTTATTGTATTTAACATATATATAATTACATTAAACGCATATAACTACAGATTGAGGGAATTGGAAAAAAGAATTATGAAAGAAAACAACATAGTTCATTTTGACACAAGTATATTAGTTGTGGGAATGAACCTTATAGTTTTGATATTTGGGAATTTTACTGTAACAACTAAAAGTAAGTGTCTTATAGAAACATACTGTTCTTTCATTTACTACTACAATATATTCATAGCACTTTTCTGTGCTTATATTTTAAGTCTCTATAAAATTGATTTTGCTAGTAAAGCATCACAAGCAATAAGACCAACAGATACAACTAACACTTTATTAAGAACTCATTTTAATGAAAACCCTAATGGGAATGTTATTTTTATATTGAAAAATTATATGTTTGAGTTATATAACTGGACTTGTTTAGGTCACGTATTAACACTATGTATTAATTATTTCAATATGTTCTTATTTAGTTATATATTATCAATGAAGTTAAAGAAATCTAGAACTAGACAAACTACACAAAATCACACAGCAGGAATGACTGATGATCAATTAAAAGTAAGAAGAGCTGTTCAATTAACAGACTGAAGAATAAATTTTATATTTAATTTTATCAATTCCCTCTCATAAAACTTTAATTCAATAAATGATTACAAAGAAGAATGGTATTTTAAGAAAGAGTAACTTAAATATGAGAATAGAACTGGAAGAAAAGACAAATATTCAAAGGAGGTTAAGTAATGCTGAAAGAAAAGCTTTTTCTCAGTATAACAAGGTAGAAGAAGAGGAGCTAAGGTTTCTTCATAAATACGCAAAAGCACTAGAAGAACACTATGATACACTTAATGAATTACATGAAAAGTATACAATAATGTGTCCACTTTATACTGATTTATTTGATTTTATAATTGGAGTTCATTATAAACTCTCATTACAAGATGATACTTTGTATGTTTGTTTCAATATTTTGTTAGATTTTTTGAGTAAAAAAACAGTTAGTAAAAGTAAATTAAAGCTATTGGGATTAGGAAGTTTGTTTATTGCTGTCAAATATGAAGAGGTCGAGCCCTCAACACTACCTGTTCTAATAAATGCTTCAGAGACTGATTTTACTTCAAAGGAAATTATTGAGGCTGAAAGATATATTTTAAAATCAATTGATTATACTCTTGATTTTGTTAATCCACTATTTTTTTTAAGAAGAGCTTCTAAGGCTAACGGTTATGAATTGAAATCAAGGACAGTAGCAAAGTATTTTTTGGAATTAATGTTTTTATATAGGGAATTCTATGATTTTGATAGTAATGTTGTAGCATCATCAGCAATGTTTTTAGCTAGAAAAGTCACATCTGAAGATATTCATAGAAATTTATTTTTTACATACACGAAAGTTGATAAGTCTGAAATGGGAGAGTGTTTAAAATTACTTTTGGATTTATTAATTAAAGAACCAGTTCACACAGAATTAAATAATAAATATTCGAAATTAAAGAAACATAACACAATTAAGTTAGTTAGAAATTATCTTTTAAAAAAAGAATAAATTAGTTTATTTTTATAATAAAATAGTTTATTCTTATTAAAAAAACTTTAATTTTTATAATAAAAAAGTTTATTTTCTTCCAATATAAAACATTATATTTGATAAAATTACTTTACAGTCTATAAGATTTTGATAACAATATTCCTCAGCATCAAAAGGTAGTATCGTTTCAATAAATTCTAAATATCTTAAGGTTTTATAGTGCGTCATTATAATTTGGTAAAAAACAGATGCACTTAAGAATTTGACATTTGAAAATTTCAAACGAACAAGTTCCATTTTTTCTATTAAATCATTATCATTAGGACCAAAACAACACTGTGATATTTCCAAAAATTGACATCTAGGAAATTTAACTAGAAAATCAAATGATCTAGCATTTGAAACTATCACCTGTTGAATGGTTGATGTGTCAATATTATCAATATCAGTAAAACTACAATCTGCATAAAATAGACTATTAATATAATCACTATTGAGTATAAATAGTTTGAAAAGATCAGCATCTATTTGAAATTCAACGTTAATGAGTTTACAATTTCTTATAATCTCTTTTAAATTATCTTTAGTAAAAGAAGTATTCTTTATAGTTAAACTATTGATCTTAGTATAATTAATAACCTTAATAAACTCTTTTAAATTAGATAAATTACCATCAAATTTTACATCCTGAAGTCTTAATTCAGTTGGTTTACAAATTCTAATTAGTTTAATTAAATTTAAAAATGAAATCAAACAGGTTTTAAGTGTCAAACACTCTATAAATATACATTTGGGGTTAATTAATGGACTCATAATACTACAAGATTTGTGATATGGAGTTATAATGTTATTAAAAGTAAACTTTTCAATTCTACAGAAAATAATTTCATCTATCTGAACATTTTCTAAATTCTTTATAAACTTAAACTCAAATAAGTCTTTAAAAACCACTACACAATTATCATCAAGTGATGTTGTAGCAGCAGTTTTTAAATGACTAAATAAATTCAAATAAACACCATCATTTTTATCTGGAAAAAACATATCTCTCAGTCTAGATTCATAATTTGATATTAAAAGAGCAATATCAATGGGTATTGTATCTTTAATACCTATAATATTGTCATTTTGTTTATCATTATGATTATTTCTCTCTTTACTTCTTGCAAATATATTCATTTGAGTTAATAAATAGTTGATAAAAGACATTTTTGTACTTCTAAAAATAAACAAAAAGAACTTTAAAACAAGTTAAATTAATAAAACAATAAAGACAGATCAGTAAAATAAAATTTATAGAATATTTTAAATAAGACATGTGATTGATAGCTTAATTAAAATTAATCAATTAATGAAAATTTTTATAAAAACCCTCAAATTAAATGATAAATCAAGAATATGTTTTAGTGAATATTTATAAAGAGTTTGGTAGTATTGATATTTTTCACTTGTTATTATATTCGGACATATATGAGACTTTTAGAGTAGCTGATAGTCAAACTAGATTAGTTGGTAAGGGGGCATTTTTTAAGGGTGATCTTGTTAAAATTGTTGTTGAGTCACAGATGGGTGTTGAAATTGAACTGGTCGAACAAAATTATAATGATGGAATTGAAGAAAAGTATGATTTATCTTACTTATTAATAAATAGATGGTTTAGATTCCAAAATCACACACTTCCGTTCAATGTAAATGCTGTTATTCCAACGAAGGTAGCAAAAAGAGTAGAAAAGGATGGTAAATTTCTTTCAATGTATACTATTAATGATGAAAATGTTCCAAGTTTATCAGAAAAGTTATCTCATAAATTTGTCTGCAGAGTAGTTAAGAAGACTAGAATAAGCTCTGTTACAAATAATTTTAATCCATTCTTTTTTGTGATAGGTCATTCTAATAACGTTTTTATTAAGATCATTTTTTGGTTAGAAAACTTAGCAGCATATTCAACATTAAAGGTGGGTGATTTAATTTATGTTAGTGATTTTAAAAAGAAGATAAAAACACCATCACCTTCTAAATTAATTTTTAATAATTTAACTGAATCATTTTATTTTGATCTTGATGAAGTAACAGTAAAGACTTTATATAAGTTGAAATTAGAACCAGAAATAACAATACCAATTGCTTATAATAGTTATGGAACACCATTTATTAAAATAGAAGGTAATATCATATATGTTAGTGTATTATTGAAATATAGGGTAGCTGAAACTATTTTAGAATATTACCTTATTAAGATTAAAGATGAAAATGGTAATATTAAACAGGTTGTTTTATTTAATAACTCAGATGATCTTTTCTACCAAATTAAGGGAGGTTATATAATATTAGAAGATATGCGTAAGGTTGAGAGGGGGTCATTTACTTACTATCTAAGTACTTTATACACACAAATATCTCTTAAAGAGGAAATATACTTGATTGATCCTATTGGAGAAGATAATAAAAAGAAATCTAAGAAAGTAGTCAATGAATACATACAAGGTGCTTTGGGATACATTCCAGACAGGGTAAGTTCTATTGATCTTTTAGTGTTAGAAGAAACTGAAAAAATAAACGGTAAATCATTGTCAGTAGAAGGATTTTTAGATCCAATTTATATTGAGATGGACAAATTATATGAGATTGATTTAGTGATTAATGAAACTAAAAAAGTTTATTTTAAAGGGAAAGTAAAATCAGTTATAAAATCAGAAATGGCTGTATCATATACGGAGAATGGAGAAACAAAAGATCAGAACTGTCTAGAATTGGCTTTAGATAACGGTGTTGAACTTTTAATGATAGAGAATTTTTATTTGGATAAAAAAATAGAATTTGATAAAAAAGATCTTCTATTCAAAAATAGTTATATCTTTGTGGAAGCTTTTAGAAGTGATTCAGAAACAATTCTTTATTATTTAACTGGCTATTTAAACTTAAACAGAAACAATAAATAATTTTAAATAAAAATTTTTATCACCCTTAAAATTATTTAATGACATTTTCTTACTTAAATTCAATACCAATTCAATCTAATTTTGACTTAAATGATATTTATTTAAATGATGATAAAGAAGTTTATTTCGTATCTAATGGTAGTTTATTTAGTTATTTAAATAAGTTAAGAGAAATTGATTCTTGTGAAAGTGATATTGTTAAATTTAGATTTTATAATGATAATGCTGTGTTAGTTAGTGAAAGTAGAATTTATTTTAATTTTGGTAGTTTGAAACGAATGACTACTGCTTTTGATCTTTGTGAAAATTTATTTGCTTTGGGTACTAAAGATGATTTTACTTTAGAAGTTTGGTCAATTCCTGATCAATATAAGTTTACTTTATTTGATAGAGTTTTAAAGATTAATAAGCATACTAGTATGATTAATTGTGTTAAGATTTATCAAAATTTTATATTATCTTCAGGACTTGATAGAAGTATATTTTTAACCGACATTAACACTGGAAATTCAAATTTGATTTGGAAGAGTAAAGATTTACCTGTTTATGTTAATTTTATTAATAAAGAAATTGAAAGTTCTGATTTAAAGATTGTTCAAATTGAAAAAGAAAAAGTTGATTTCAAATTGATAGAAAATAAAAAAAAGTATATTAATTGTCTTGACGTAGATGATTTAGAATGTGTTGTTGTAACTGAAAAAAGTATAATTAAAATTAAAAAAGTTTTTAATAGGAAAAATAATGATGAAAATATCAATTTTTTAAATTTTAAGGGAAAGATCATTTGTGCTGATTGTAATAAGAATAGAATTGTTGTCGTGTTACAACAAGATATTTCAAGTGAATTGATTTTATTTAATAACGATTTAGAAGAATTATATAGAGGATTGTTATCAGAATCTCTTTTTAATATTTCTTTAAATGATTATTCAGTTGCTTTGAAATTTAAAAATAAAATATCTGTTTTTGATGTCCAAGCTGAAGCACTTAAAAATATACCACTACCAGTAATTAATGATATTGATGTTAAAAAAAATGTATTAGGTACAGCTTGTAACGATAATTATTTAAGATTGTATTCTATAGATAGTAATAATAGAATTTCATTTAAGGAATATTTTGATCAAAATTTTAAAGGTAATTCAGCAAGTGTAAAGTTATTTAAAAATAGTGCAGTTATGGTTTCAGATAAGTTTTATGTATCTTTATTTAATGTGGATGATGGAAATTGTTATAGATCTTATAATTTACCTATTGAAAGTGATGAAAGTATTTTGAAAGTTGAATTAAGCGAAGATGGTATTTATGGATTTTTTGTTACTAAAAATAGAATTATCAATGTTGAACTTAAAAAGGCTAATATTGTAAATTCAATAGTTGTAAGTAATTTAATTAAAGCAATCTGTTATAGAGATAATTTGTATTATGTTAATTTAGAAAATGAACTTTTTAAATGGAATCCATTCTCAGACACTCTTAATACTATACAAATAACTAAGATGGTTAAAGATTTATATATTGAAGAGGGATTAATTGGAGTGATGTTAACTAAGGAAATAGAATTTTATAATCTTAATTTAAAGTTTAATTCATCATTACCGATTATTAATAAAAAGGAAATTAAAAGTATTAAAGAAGTTAAAGAAGGATTTGATAAGTTTAGTTTTAATAATAAAAACATCATAATTGCTCGAGATAAACTAATAAGTATTGATAGAAAAACATTTAAAAGGAAAGTATTTTATGAGTTTACTGGAGATACAAAAATTATAAAGATGATAGCAACAATTGATATGATTTTTGTTATTTCTAATAAAGGAATAAGTATATTTAAGAAATCAGAAAATATTATTTTACCAGTTAATATTAATATTGAATCAAATCCAGATTTTATTAAAACAGCTTTATCAAATAAAGAATATTTGAAAGCTCTTTTGGGTTCATTAAGACTTGGTGAAGAAGATTTAATTGTTCGAGTATTAAGAGAATGTGATAATTTAGAAATTTATAAAGTAATGGATGAAACATATACAATTGCACTGTGTAAATTTTTAGTAAATTACATAGAAAAGTATAATTCTGATGAAATTTTTATATTTAAAATTGTAAATGTTTTAGTTAAATTTAAACGTGAGTGTATTAATGAATTTAAAAACCTCAAATGTGATTTGAATGAAAAGTATAAAATTATCAGAGATACTTATTTTATGTTAAAAAGTTTAGTTAAGAAAAACGGAATTTAATAAAATTTGTTTCTAAAAAAATTTCTTAATTTTATGATGGGTGGAGTTTGTGAAATATGCTTAGAGGATATAAAATATAAGTGTTCATTAAAATGTGGCTGTGTTTTTTGTTTAGGATGTATTTATAGATATTTATTTGATCATGATAAATGTCCTAAGTGTAGAGCGGAGTTCAATACTATTTACAGCTTAAAAGTTCACTGCGAAAGAATAAACAAATCAATTTTACCAAACAAAATAGGTAAGTTAACAGAAAGAAATTTAAAAACAGTTCTTAAATTATACAATATAAACGTAAAGTGTGGGTTTAAAGAACTTAAAGAATTATACAAAGAGTTATTAGTAATAACCAATATAGAGTCATATAAAGAAGAATCAGTTGATATTACACGAAAAGATATAGCAATTAAAGTACATAAAAGCTTTTATAATAACAAAAAGAAATTTTCAATAAATGAAATTATAAAGGCTGCTCAACAATTACACATAAAAGTATTTTTTAAAATAAAAAACAGTTTGTTATTTTAAAAAATTTACACACTAGCTCTCATAATTAACAGTATATAAACATTAATATTATTAACAATAAAATAAATAAACATAAGTATACATAAAGTAATGCTAATTTTTTAATTTTTAACTTCCATGAATACCATTTGTTAAATCTCACTAAATCAGAATAGCTTCTAATTCATCATAGTCATTTGATTTTTTATCTTTTGAGTGTATCCCATTATTTATTAAAACAAACTTAATTAATAGATAAACATAAAGAGCAAAAGGAACAACAACAAGTTCAATTTTAAAATTACGATTCATAAAAACGATAAAAAATTTATTAAAGATTAATATTTTCTTCTAGAACAATTTTTTTGATCAAATCAATTTCATTTTCTTTAAGAGGTGTAATATCAAGTTTTAAGTTTACCTTCATAAATTCTTCTAATGAATTATTTAAACTTAAATCATCCTCTGTTTTCTGTAATTCTCTTAAAAGCTTTAAAGAATTTTCTCTATTTAATTTGGTTACATTCGACTTGTAAAAGGTTATTAAATTGTTTTCAATAAATTCTTTTCTTTCATACAACTTTTGAATATTTTCTTTAGAAAGATTTTCATCAGTTATTTTTAAGAGAAATTTAACACACTCTTCAATTCTCTTTTCTCTAATTGTATTTTCATCAGGTGCTATAATGACTTCTTTAGCTAGTTTTAATGGTTTAATTTCTAACTCTGAAATAATCTTTAAAGATTTAATTATATTTTTAGTTGATTTAGTTGAAGCATTCAAATCCATTAAATAAAAATAAAAATAACATTTTATTAGATTTTCCCTTGAATCGCTCCAACATGTTGTAATAAAACCTTTCTTTTAATAACTTTCCTTTCTTGAAATAAATGTATGTAACTGGCAAATAAAAGGTATTTCTGTTTAAAGTTAGAACCTAATATATATTCTTCTAATAAATCCATAAAATGTTCCTGACATTCTCTATCATTTGCAACTATTTCTTGAAGAACAGTAAAAAACTCAACCGCCCTAGCTATAGCAATATTAAGGTCATTTACAATTTCTGTCTTTCTAAACACTGATTTAGCAAGAAATGATGCAAACACATCAACAATTTCAAATTTATTTGCTTTATAGGAATTACTTATTTTAAAGCTTAAAACTTTAGCTGCCACTTCACAGTAATCAACTGAATTTTTAGAAAAATATTTTTCCATAAGAAAATTCTCTAATTTTTCAAAAAATCCCTCCACCTTCTTCTTTTCTTTTCTAATTACAACATCATTTATAGTAATCACATAATTAAAATCATTAAAGATTAGTGAATCTTTAAATACAATTCTAGGTTCCGCATCATCAATTACTATCCAATGAAGATATTTTTCAAAACGCTCAAGATTAAGATTAGAAACTGATGAGCTGAATAAATTAACAGCATTCAAACTCTCTGGTAAATCACAATTAACAGATAAATAATCATTCATAGTTACAATTTCCTTACAATAAGCAACATTACAATTATCAACAAAATTAAAAGGATACTTATTCATATTCAAATCAATAGAATCATGTACCAATTGATTAATATTTTCAACCCAGTAAAGTTCAGCAAAAAGATTGTTTAATTCAGATGAGGCTACAAATATTGTTGGTGATGATAAAGGTACCGCATTAAAAACTCTAGTTACTTCAGATTGACATTTAAGAGGAAATAGAAAACAATTCATAATTTGATTATTATCTAAGACATAATAGTATCTTTCAGGATCATTAGAATCTTTTTCATATAATAAGAAAGTAGCAAGTGCGTTTTTATTTTGATTAAAAAGATAATCAAAGTCAATAAAACATAACTGATTCATCTTTATAACTAAAAAGTCATTATCAAGACCATAAATTTTAAGTGCTCTAAAAATATCAGCTTCACTGTTTAAAGGATGTGCAGTCAATCCAGTGTATGTCTGTGTTAAACAAGCAAAAACCATTCTCTTCATGTGCCTAGAATTAGCAACATAATCTATAACCTCATTAATATGTCTTCCTGCCAAAACAATTCTCTTGAAATTTTTAGTATACAAATCTCTAAGTACATGATCAATCATAAAAATATTAGATATTGGCCAAAGAGCTATGTTACTAACCTCACTTCTAAATTTCTTTGGAAAATGTTTTTTTTCATAAAAATCACAAATCAACACAACAATTCTTTTTTTCTCGAAGATAAAACTTCTATTAATCTCAGGTATTTGGTCATAATGTAACTTACTGTTTGAAGGACTGCTTATATAATCATTTTCAAGCTCCCCTGATAAAAAACTGCTTTCATTGTTTCTCTCCGTGTTCATAAAAAATAAAGGATGAAAAATCTTAATTAAATAAATAGTTTAAAAATTATTTTAACATAATTTAAATGAATTAAAATTTGTTTGTTAGAACAAATAAATTTTATTAATGTAAGCATAAAACAAAATTCATGTATCATAAAATAAAGAAGGACTTCACCTATCTCTCAATTATAAAAGAAGCTATAAGTACATTTCCAAGGAAAGCAGCTACAACAAGACAAATATTTTCATATATGGTAGCTAAACATCCAAATATATTTAAAGAATCTAATAGTTTAACCTGGAAGAACAATGTAAGACAACTTCTCTCAAAAAGTCCTGAATTTATAAAACATAGAGGAGCCAGTACAGTGGGAACAAAACATGCATTGTGGATTTTTAAACCAATTGAGGAAATAGAAAAAGAAGAAGATATGTTGAGAAATTATTTACAGTTTGATGATACTAATAGCAGTAAAACTAATACAAAGTATTTCTATGATTTTTATTGTAATGAATCTTATGAAAATGAAGAAAATAAATAGACAGTGATTTTATTCTAAGGCTCTTTCTTTCTTTAATAAAAATTCACTAATTGGGCCTTTTGGTCTAATTACACTAACAGTTGCACCTCTTGCAAGTAACAACCTTTCATTATGAAGTTTCTGGAATTCTTCTCGGTACAAACCAGTAAATCCGTGTTTTTGAGATACTTGAATTTGTTGACCCCCTGGAAGTTTATTACTTGCCTTTCTAAGAGCTTCTCTAGCATGTCCAATGAAATTATCTTTAGTTCTGATTTCAATTACGTGATCACCTGTAAATACACGAGCAGCTCTTCCGTATGGTTTACCAAACGAGTTTCTCATACCAGCCTGTAATCTATCAGCACCAGCACAAGACATCATTTTGTTAATTCTAAGAACAGTTATAGCTTGTTTATTAATTCTCAAATGGAAGTTGTCTTTACCAATATTTTTTACTAAGTGCTTGTTACATGCAATACGAGCAGCTTCTAAAGCCTCTGAAGAAATATGCTCATCTTCTAAATTAATGAGATTGATTCTGGCAGGGAATGCCAAAGCTGATGCCTTCTTATTACCGAGATCATTTAATGCTAACTTACTTTCTGGTCCAGATCTACAAAATCTAGATTTTATGTAAGCTTTCTTGTTTAATTTTCGATAACACTTATGTGGTCTTCTACCCATTCTTAATTTATGGGTAAAAATTTTTAATAAAAAATTAATTGATTAATGGAAGAAGAGTTTGATATTGATAAGCATAAATTTATTTTATTATTACCAGAAAGTTTAAGAGAGAATAGCACTTTAGTTGTAAATAACAATAAACATTACATTCTTAAAGAATCAAACTATTATCCAATTACAGTTGAGAGATATTCCAATTCAAAGGTCTGTACTACTGAAAACAATTCTTATGAAGATGAAAAGGTCAATTTCATTCTTACTGCTTTTGACACTGTAAATTAATATTATTATTTACCCGCCCATATGAATAAACAAATAAAAGAAAAATTAAAATTTGAAGGTATTACTTTTCATGTATTCTTTTATCTCTTAAGAATATTCATCGTCTATTTAGATGCAATTATTAGTTATAAAAGATCTTTTAAACTAAAAACTATTGAAAAATTTTGTATTTTTCATCAGTTAATGTCAAATACTGTTTATACTTCAATAATTTTTTTTAGTTTGTTAAGTGAGGAAGTATCAACTTATAGAGCATTTTATAGTTATGCCATATTATTTGTTCATATAATATTCACTAAATGTCTTGAAATTAAAAACAGGTCAATTGATTCTACTTCAGTTTATATTGGTTTTCAAATTATTTACATATTGACATTTTTCATTGAGTATATTGGAATTATAATTATCAGTAAAAAGATATCTTATCTTTTGTCTGACAGATATTTGAAGATATCTTCAGATAAGAATATAATTGATGCTTACATAATAAGAAAAAAGATTATTAATCAGAAAATTATGCTTATTAGAATGGGATTTGTTCTTTTATCAAAATTTTTGTTTAATTATTGTTTAATTGATTATAATGATCCTAAAGAGGCTATTGATTATAGTGTTGATGGTAAAAAAGTATATGGCATTTTGTGTTATTTAATATACTTTAATTTGAGTGTTAATGTATTGTTATTGTCTTATAGAATTAATGAAGAATATGTAATACAAAGATATATTATTATGTTTTGTTTGTTTCTAGGAATATTTAAGGTTATTTTTATACTAAAAATAGTTACTGGTGAAAATAGTATCTTTGATTTTAAATCCTATTTAGACATATTCACTACCAGTGATTCTGAATATTTACTTTTATTAGTTATTTTAATTAGAACACTTTATTTTGTTGTACAGGATTTTTTAAAGTTAGAATCAGGTCTCAAAGATTCTTTATTCTTTTCCAAAAAGAGAAATAGAAAATTAACTAGAAAATTAGTTTGAAAAGAATAAATTTATTCTTCTTTATCTGAATATCTTAATTTTCTTCTTAATACAAACAAGAGAACTGTTGATAAGATTCCTAAAGAAATTAAAGTTATATTTAAGTAATTAGTTTTTGCAAATGGATATTTAGTTAACTTATTTTTAAAAAACTTATCTATTGATGTGTTTGTAATTTCACGAATATTATTAGTTGTTATTTTATCTTTAATGAAGTACCATTGAGATTTAAGTGGATCAAACATAGTTAATGATGGTATTTCCATATCGGGTAATATTTGTGATTTAAATGCTGGGAAGATTGTGTTGTCTAATTGAGCGAATATTGTTGTGGAGGTTGGCATACCACCATGTAAATCTCTAGCTACTTCTTCAAATTCATTAGTTAACATATTTCCTTCGGTTAGTAAAAGTAATACTGGTTTTATACCGTGGAATATTGAATAGAAATTTTCATTAGTGAGTTCGCTAAGGTGTGGAAAGTGGGTGTGGAATATCCAATGAATGACTTCATCACCATTCTTTAAACTGAAAGGACATGAATGGAAAATTCCATCTTTATAAACAAATAACTTTAACATTTCATCAATTTCTTCACTTTTATCTTTTGGTGTAAAATCTGTTTTAGCAAATACTACTGGATCATTTGATCTGAATATTTTAGCCTTAAATTTAAATTGAAGTGCTAACTCATTAAAGTGATATTTCACCATTTCTTCATTATTGTTAACAACAATATAAAGAGGTTCTTTAGTAAGTTTTGATTCAATTATTATGTCATCATAATTAAGATTTCTAAGAACAGGAGCATCTAATTTCTTTACAAATTGTTCAACAGAATTTAAATCATGAAGTGAATTTGTATAAGGTACTGCTATTCCATTATTCATAGCAACTAAGTGTGGATAACTATAGATATTAAATCTAACTTCAACATCACTGGCTTCTTTTTTATTAACCTCACCTATTTTAACATCTGGAAATGTTCTTGCCAATTTAGGTAAAACTTTTCTAAATGGTTCATCTTTTCCATCATAAAAGAACAGTAACCAGTTACCAGAAAAACCACCATTCATATCATCTTTAGTTATCTTAAATATCAAATCTTTATTATCTAAATCTATTTTAAGACTATTATAAATCCACTTTAGTAGGGTTGGATGATCTTTATACCCTGTTGATGAATCTACTAATTTTTTATCATCAGTAATTTCCATTGTTGGAAATATATCAATGTCTTTACAATCACACTCATTACATTCAACTTTCCTTATTTTTATATTAAGGTCGTTTTCTTCTAATCTTTGAATTATAGGCTTGAGTGCTTTACATGCCTCACAATTCTTAAGTGTATATACATTTAATACAAGACCATCTAACTCAGCTGGACAATACAAAGCTTGAACAAACTTAACAAATAGCATACTAAATAAACAAAATTTTAATTTATAGTCATTTATTTTGATTTGTTTCAAATTTCAAATATTTTTAAATATAAAATTTATAATCTTATACTTTAAATTATATTCAATTTAGGAAGTATTTTATTTATATTTTTACATCAAAAAAAGTTTATTTAAACAACATTACCTTTTTTAAGTTTACATTGATAGAAAACTAATTCTTCTCCCTGTAAAACATATCCGTTAGCACAACCAACTTGTCCAGGTCTGCTTGTAACAATTCCATAAACAAATCCTTTATCAGCT